TAACAGTCAAATACTAACGAAAAAGTCAGATTAACAAAATTAGTTGTTTTTGCTAAGCATCGGCCATTTTTGTTCACTCTGTCAGGGACGTTGGATTTATGGAATTGATTAAAACATTATCACGCCTAAATTATCATTGTCCTTTCTTTGTGATATTTTCAACAATCTAAATTGCATTAATAAATAATTATATTAATTACATACCACCAAATAATTTTCACTGTAATGGAAATTCTAACTTTACTCGACTCGGTGGACTATGCAATGTGGGAATCAAGAAAGATCCCTTCTAATTAGTACAACGTCTAAAGGATTAGGCTCTGTATTATATTTGTCTGTGTGTGTTAATGAGTTAGGTTTTGTTTTATTTTGTATATCCTTTGGTTACCGGACAAAAAATTCCAGACCCACATTTTACAAACCTTTGTTTTAGAAAAGAGGTCTATTACCTAGATTATAAATAATACAGTGTGTTAAATTTTTTTTAATTATCCAGAACATTCATTATTTGTGAAAAATTTGATACGTTGTAGGTTTTGACCTTCTAAATAAAAGTAATCCAGGACTGAAAGTTTTTCTATTACTCTATTATAAGATACAGTGCGATGAATTATTTTTATATTTTAATTTTACTGACATTTTGTAATATGTTCGAAATATGGAATATGAGCTCTTAAAGAAGTATTAAAGAAATGCTTCTATTTGTTTTTTATCTTGATCACTTAAGTATCTTAATAGACTTAAAAATGTCAGAGAGGCGACTACTGAATTGTTCATGCCTACGATTAACCAGTACCACTAAGTGTTTCATCTAGACAGGCCCTTACGTGCCCCTATAAGCGAAATGTTGACTTTGTTGACATATGGGTCTCATGAATAAAAATGGAGCATTTGCTCAAAGTAAAAGCAAATCCTTCGAAGCAAAACGTAGAAGCAGAAGGATTTGCTTCGTTTCTAATGAATAATAATTTACTTTTGCTCCGAAGTAAATGCTTCGTTATTTAGCATGCATTGTAGTTAATAGAGAAGTGAATATAGAAGAATAAGCAACGCTATGAGCTCCGACGAAGAAAGTACGACCTGTGAAGAGAACGATCAGGTGAAATTTGTAGAGTTACTGCAAAATTATAAGGTGATATTAGAAAAATCACAATTACCCACTGTAAAAAAGCGAAAATTATTGCGTTAATAAAGTTACAAGCGGAATGGCAGGCAGTGACAGAATTAGTGTAAAGCTATTATCCATAAAAATCAATAATTTGAAAACAAACAGAAAGCAGATATAAATAGAACCGGTAACAAACAAATAAAATTAAAGCTATGGGAAGAGGCATTTTGGAAGTTAATGGATGTTGACAGAATCTCTACTTTGTGCAAAGTGCCAGGTAACAATCGTATGTTCATTACTAATGAATCATTAGATGGAATTAAATGTTATCAGGTAGTGTGCAAGTTGGCGTACCACCACCGATACAGACTGCTGCTTCGGTTGGCATCTCCTTGGAGTCTGAGTCATCTGTTCCGATTCCAGAAACTGCAAAAAGCACGTCATCAATGAAAATGAAAAAACATCACCTTCCGGAGACAGCTGAAACAAAACTTATTAACGGCTGAGTTACAGAGATAAGTTTTGTTAGAACAATTATAAGAAAAGAAAGTTGATGAGAGAGTTAGAACAGGAAAAGTTATTAGTTACAGAAAATGATAAAGTGTATACACAGTTGTAAACTATTCCAACATACTTTGATAGTGCGATATTTATGTTGAGGTTTTGCAGCTAAATTTTTGTTCTTTATTAGGTTTTAAATAAGTTTTGTATTCGTTTTCTTGGATTATGATTTATGACATTCGTTACGATATTTTCAATAAATTTTGTGTTCCATGTTTTGGAGTATAATTGTTTTACCACAAGTTTTACTTACCCTACAAATCAGATAGGCAATTTCCTCACGCCTTCGCGTTCCACTTTTTCTAATGTTAATATTGTCATTTGCATTTCCCCAATACGGTTATTTGCGTTGTTATTAAGCTTCACTTCTTTTAATTCGAAGTCTGAATCGCGTGTGTTTTTACAATGTTGTGTAGAATAACGCAGCAAACTATTATTTTAGGGATATTTTCAAGCTTCACTCGAACTTTATACTGCAATATAGAAAATCTTCAACTGTCCAAAGCAACGTTTAATGCACCCCCTTTCCTTCTTCAACAAATTATTGTGCCGGGTTTCTTGTGGTGTATTTACGCTTCGATAAGGACTGATTAAACAGGGCAGGATTAAACATGCCCTTCATCTGCCAGGAGCAAAGCTCGTTGTGTATTGCGACGCATAATGGTACAAATAGCAGACGATTTCCAGATTCTACTGTCATGAGTAGAACAGAACCATTGTACATCTACACTTGTAAATCTCTCCTGCGCATCGCACGTTGCCTGTAAATTAATGCTAGCAAAACCTTTTCGGTTTATATATTTATCTCCAAATTGGAAAGGTTTTCGACATGTGTGCAATCCAGAACTCCAACTGCGGCTGGAAATGCATAAACTTGCTGCCAAAGACGCTGGGCTTCACGTATTTCCTCATTTAATGATGGAAACTTTATTTATAGATTTGCTTTCCGCCAGATTTTGTTCGTTACTTCAATTGTTTTTGACACAGTACTTTGCTGAATTCCAAATATTTTCCCCATGCTGTTTTGGTAACCTGGATCAGCGATGTAAGGCAAAAACACTTTCATTTTCTGAAACGGTGATAATGCACCACCTCGTTTCTAAATGTTGACCAAATGGAAAAACGGTGTTGCCAGATTTTCGGCGAAGAAATGTCATCTGTCAACGCATCTTTCAGTAATTAGGCGCGCATTTTAAAATATTCTTTGAATCTTGTGAGTTAATCGTTTGATTTATTTCAATTAGTATTCTTAATTTGGATATTTTTTAGTTGTAATTATATTTTTGAGTCAAATGTGTTATATGTTTCATAATCATATTCAAATATATAGGATTTTTCAACGAAAACGAACCCAAGAAAAACATGTTTTTTTTTTAAAAAAACACGAGTTTGTTATATGACAAAATTATTAATATCCAGCCCAGTTTTAACGCTCTAGAATAAGTAGTTAGTCACTTTTTTTATAATATTATACATAGTGATACATACTATATGTACAATATATTTTGATTTAATTGTTTAATTCATACATGAGCAATTTTCCTTGTAGCGTTGTTTACATTTTGCAGAGAAGTATTGTATTCTGCTTTTAGCTGATAAATCATGTGTACATGTTAGTGGGTTGAATGTAGACAATATTACTGTTTTTGCTAAAACTGCTGGCTAGGAAAGCTGGGCGGCGATACCAACAAAAAAACAAGCACAAAGCATTAGATCAGTTTGTATCACTTACAATTTACAACCGCTCAAGTAACTAGTATGTTGAACATTCTTCACGAGAATATATTAAACATATCGATGGTTAAGAAGTGAAGCCTGGTATCTACATTATCTGAGAAATGTGACACCTCGTATCTGCAGGTTTGACTAACATTAGTCAACGGTGTTAAAATACTCAGAAAATAATACACTATAACCTCGTATCTAAATTTTCATAGATTTTGTGGCTGGTGCACTTATTAAAGGTGATTTTAATGATTACTTTTGTAATATAATATCAAGCTTAGATCATCCAGGCTCAGTTTTCGTCACTTTACCAATTTAAAGCAGTGAAATTACGACAATTGTTCGATTTACATAATAAATTAGTAATATTTCCAGACTATACAGATACGAGGTATCTCATTTCTCAAATTTGCCAAAATTGCGTATATACGTGTTCTCACAAACTACTGATTAAATTACATAGTAAGTTTTTGCCTTTAAATTGCAGAATGAAAAAACATGGAGTTTTCCAAAAACTATTCAGCTCGAACAAATAAAATATTTAAAAAATCTTCTTTGAAAAAATATTAAAATGAGCAAATTAAAATGTGTAAATTGTCAGTTAACTTGGATGAATGTAGATGGTTCAATGAAGAAGAAAATGAGCTAAATAGTAATAATCTGCAAGCAAATTGCATTCTCCATGAAGTTCAATCACTAGAGCCTCAATCAATAAAAATGCCTGACGTACAAACGAACCCAGAAAACCTACCTTCACTAGAAAATAATTCTGAGAGCCTTCCTAATCAGCTGGCAAATACACTAACAGAAATTGAGCTGGACACTACACTAAATGGAGAATCTATGAACCTGCCTATCCTAGAAGATTTGATATTACAAATTCAGTCTGAAATTTCCCATGATTGTCTTCCATCAAATGAAGAAACTTACTTAGACACTGAAAACCTGGAAGAAGACTTTAAAGCTAAAGAAGAAAGAACTATAGGAACAAAAAGGCGTAAGGTGGTACAGATCCTAGAACAAGGATCGGAGTCTTCTGATGAAGAAAACCTAGAAAAAAAAGCGATGTAGAATTGCAAATAAGAAAGAGTGGTCAGACAAAAAGAATGAAATGTTGAGAGAACAGGGGAAAGCTTATAAAGGTTGGAGTAGATCCAAAGGGGCCCCTGCCAAAAGAGGAATTATAAGAAATGAGAGAGAACTGGGCCCACGATGCTCTTCGAAAACATGTACCCGGTCAAAAATTATGAACTGTCAAGCTATTTCTGAAGAAAGCCGAAGTGCACTTTTCAAAAAATTCTGGTCTCAAATGAATTGGGACCAGAGAACCATTAATATCAATGGTCAAGTATCGCGTGTATGTAAAAAGATGTTCCTTTCAACTTTTGGTCTAAGAGAATGCAGTGGGCCAAAACCTCCGAGTCGGGTATTCATCCTTTCTGAGAAGTATCAAATAATAATGTGAGAGCAGTATACAAAAAACGGGGATGTAGAACTGACAGTGGGATTACGAAAGTCATTCTTATAAAGTTTCTAGAATCTTTAGCAAAACTTTCGACACATTATTGCAGGGCATCCACAAACAAGTTGTATTTAGAGCCCATTTATGGAAACTGTATGTCTGATGTTTATAGAGAATACAGTTCTAAAAAAAAATCCCGCTATAAAGCCTTTATGCAGATACACGTTCGATTGTACTCTAAAAGAAAGGAACATTGCATTCCAAACACCTAAAAAAGATAAATTTGATACCTGTTGTTCTTATGAATCCAAAAACTTAGATATTCAGATTTATGAAGAACACATTAGGAGAAAAGAACAGGCAAGAGACGAAAAAAATAGGGACAAGGTTTTGGGAGCAAAGAAGGAAGCCATCGTTTTAGCCCAAGATATGCAAGCTGTAAAAGTGTGTCCATATCTCAATGGTTCAGCCCTTTATTACAAGACAAAATTAGTTTGTCATAATTTTACAGTGTTTGATATAAATACCCATCACTGCGTGTGTTACTGGTTTAATGAAACTGAAGCCGATCTGACCGCTAATACTTTTGCTAGTTGCATTGTCGATTATATTTTACAGCTTAAAGACTTGTCCAAACCTGTAATAATATGGAGTGATGGATGTACTTACCAAAATAAAAATGTTGTACTGTCGAATGCCTTGCTTGGCCTTAGTGTGCATAGAAATACTACAATTTACCAGAAATATCTTGAACGTGGACACACTCAAATGGAAGTCCACGCTGCGATAGAGAGAAATTTGAAAAAAAGTCTAATATTTACCAAGCGACTACTTTAAAGCTACAATAGACGCAAGGAAAAAAAGACCCTTATTCAGTTAAGAAAATTCATTTTGACTTTGCGAAAGATTACTCTATATCACCTAAATTTGACTCAATAAGGCCAGGGCGGAGAGTGAACGATCCTACAGTAAACGATATTAAGGTCATTAAATATACCCCTGATGGCAACATTCAAGTGAAACTTGATTTTAACGATGATTTCCAGGATCTTCCGCAGAGACGAGTGGAGAAGCCTGTACCTGATTTACAATCATTTCCACAATTACGAAAAGCGCCTATAAAAACAAAAAAACAAAAATGGGAACACCTTCAGCAAAATAATTATCTTCAAGTTCCAACTACACAAAAAACAATTGGCCGAAGAAACTTTAACTTTTTAGCACCCCGTTTTTATAATTTTTTACCAGAACATTGTAAAAATTCGTACACGTCAAACCATTTTAAGAAATCAGTTAAGTTTTTTCTAACATCTAATAATAGACAATTAATTTTCCACTTTTTTCAATTTGTTAATTAATATGTTATTTTCCTATTGTATTATTTCCCTATTATGTTATTTTACTATTATGTTATTTTATATTGTTATTTTACATTATTTATCAAATTGTTGATTTCATATTTATTATTTATATTATTGTATTCTATTATATAGCAAATAAGTTGCAAAAATAATATTACTGTTAATTTGTGTGATAACAATATAAATATAAGTTTTAAAGTATCTTGAATCATAAATAATATTAAGACAATACACAGTAATAATTACTACGTTCTAACTTATACCACGGACAGCCCTCCGGCTTTGTGGTACACCAGTTTATTGGTAGGTGATTGTACTGTAAAGAAACAAAAAATATAAATTTAAAATTTATTGTAAAAATTACTGTTCTTACTAATAAACATTATTATTATTATTATTATTATTATTATTATTATTATTATTATTATTATTATTATTATTATTATTATTATTATTATTATTATTATTATTATTATTATTATTATTATATTATTATAGTTAATAAAGAATCTTGAACTTATAGCTGTAATTTTCCAAGATTGTCATTCGTTTTATGATAATTTATTACATTTGGATTAAAAATTTAGGGATATTAATGGTACTGACAAAATGATTTGACAGTTATTTGCCCGTAATAAGATTTCCGTTTCGATTTTAGTTAGTTTGCAATGTAAATTCCTTCTGAAGATAGTATTATGGATAAAAGTCGGATATTTTTTTATTTTGTGTTTCACAATGTTACATAAAATAAGTATTTAGTTGATTAGATCTCAGTTAAATCGGATATATATATGTATTTTTTTATTTTTTTAAATAAATTTTTTGGTAATAAAAGTGTTTTTTTTATATTAAATCAAACAGTTGTCATTGCGCGTATCTACAAAGTTTTATCAATTTCAATCAGGTGAGATCTCGTATCTGCCTTCAATAACGGAAAGAGAGATATTTCTTAAATTTTATCATAAATATATTATAAAAATATGTTATTTTATCTTAGTTCAAAATAACAGAAACTCTACCTTAAAAATAAATTATTTAATGGGTTTGTTGTCTCTCCTGTAAAGTACAGTTTTTGCAAATACGAGGTATCACCATTTTCAGAAAATATTGATACGAGGTTTCACTTTTTAACCGTCGATATATCAGTCGAATGCAATGTATTTTGTTTTTATAATATACCTTTTTAGCTTGATTACTTCTAGTACTTTATTTGTTCCAATGTCCTCAAATAAAACGAGCAATAATATGTAACAATAGGGATAAAACACACACTGAAGTGTATTTGTGGTATTTTTGATCTAAATCCACTACCAAAATAACAAATTTTCCTTTTTCAAGCTGTGAATGTATTACAAAAACTACTTCTATAAAATGTAAACAAAAGTTTGTATTTGTGTACCATGCGCAGGCAACATGGTAGCGAGTTTTTAACAGTATTTATGGCAAGTGATAGATTATATCCCGAAAACTTCAACGCAGTAAAAGCTGCGCGTCTTTTTCCCGCCCAGGGAGTGTCATAGGTCTGTTGACAGTGACCACAGCAACTAGAAATTCTTCATTATAAACAAACGCCTACTGGAAGTCATTATTTAATAACATACTGTATTTGATGATAAATCACGAAATATATAATTTTTTTCTTGTTAATTAATTTAGTTTAATGTGAAGAAGCTGTCATAATTTGATGTAAAATGAAAAACTAATTGAAAAACTGTCCATTATTTACTGAATATTGACAGAACAATAAATTAAATAAATTTAGGTAGAAAAAAATGATTTGACCTAATTTATCCACGGTCCATTATAAATGTATATAAGTTGTTGAAAATGAAATAGACATCGTAGAATCAAAACTTCGATAAAATGAATTGGATTCTAAAAAAGAAAGATTTATTTATGAAAAATCATGATTATTTTATCAAACTTATTTACAACATTGGGGGATATTTAGGAATATTTCCCGTAAAGGGAGGACCAGTTTTGAAGATTATTATTTACATTATTTTATTATTGTTTCACCTCTTTATTATCTACAATACCTATTCTGATTTTATTTTAAAAACTCTACCATTAGAAATAAAGATTGTTTACATGTTAATGAAGTTAGACGAAGCAGTTGGTTACTTCATTTGTACATTTGGAAATTATTTAAATGCGAAAAAATGGCAAAAATTTTTTAAAGTGTATAATAACTTAGATCAATGTATTGATGAAGATAAGACAGGAGTCTTGCATTGGATAAAATTTTGTTATTTCCCTTTTTTCCAATTTATTAATCATTTTACATACTATATTTCGAATATATTCCCAAATTTAACGACAGAAACTGCATTGTTCTCAGTTTTTTGGTATTTTATAAAATTACAACAAATAGTGTTTATATTATTTTTTTTGGAAATGACTGACGTCTTACACGCAAAATATAAAAATTTAAATACACTATTAATATTGAATTTTAGAAATAAATCGTGCATCAAGAAAATTAATTATAGTTTGATTAATCTACTAAAGACAACTCAATTACTTAATGATCTATTTGGAAAATTTATTTTGGCTGAATTATTTTTTAGATTTTTAAATTATTTATACATTTTTAGTTTAGTTTTACAATCTACTCAACCTGCATGGTTAATAATTTTTCATTTACATTTCGTGGTGAGTATGCATATTTGTAAAAATTATTAAATTAAGTGCACTTTTTCTTCGCTTATTTTTTCCAATATTTACCACATGTATTACTACCCAAATTGGTAAAAGTTTAAAAATAAGCCACATACATATATTTATCGCTCTTCGGCCCCTTGCTAATAATCACTATTTTTTACTTCAGCGGTATAAAACGTATAAAATTTATGATGTGATTTTGTTTAAATTTTGTTGGAAAATGCATCAAGTGATATAAATTTTTTCGTCCAATAAGTAATAATAATAATAATGCTTTATTTAGATTACACCAAATTACAATCATAATTACAATATATATAACTTATAAATATAAATAAAGCTGGTAACCGATAAGTGCATTCACACTTGTTTCGGTAACGATAGTAATTCCTATTAAGGAAAACGGGATGAAAAAATTAAAATATATGTGTACATAATAAAATATTAAGAATAAATAGTATTTAAAAAATATTAATAATAGAAAATATGAATTAAAAACATAAACTATAACATACCATAAAATAACGTATAATAAGTATATAGTAAAAATCTGATGTGTCCAACACATGACTTTCCTATCTAGTTATTATAGGCTTTTTCCGATTATTTTGTACAACCTATTACAGCACCTCTATAAATTTTTAGAGGATAAACTAAATATATACATTTTCCACATTTTTCTATAGATATTCATTGAAAACGAAAATACTGAAAAATTTAAATTTAGCACTTTTCCTTCAATACGGTCTATTTTAGAAAAATCATATAAAAAACAAAAATTATAGAGATCGATAACACAAATAACTTTTATTTAAACAATTTTCCTAAAAAATTTGAATTTTATTACATTTTGTCAAATTTCTCGAATACGGACCATTTAAAAAAAAATTGTATAGAACCAAAATTATAGATAATAATATTGTAAGTAATTTTTATCTGAACAATTTTCTTCTCCAAACATAAATACCAGATATATTCCATAAAATATAAAAACGGCCTCCTAAATGTTCCGCCTTTGTCCAAAATCTAACAATTTCACCTCAGACCGAAATAAAACTTAAGTTTAAAATTTATTATTTTTCCTTTATCCGTTTTTGAGTTTTCTTCAAAATTCTAAATTTACACATTTTCTCAAATATCTCGAATACGGTTCATTTTAGAGAAATTATGTATAGGATAAAAATTATAGAGAATTATATTACAAACAACTTTTATCTAAACAATTTTTATAAATTTTTTTTTTTTACATTTTGTCAAATTTCTCGAATACGGACCATTTTAGAAAAATTTTGTAAAGAACAGAAATTATAGATAATAATATTATAAGTAACTTTTATTTAAAGAATTTTCTTCTCCAAACGTAAATAACGGATATATTTCATAAAATATAAAAATGACCTCCAATAAAGTACCCCCCCAAATGTTCCGACTCTGCCCAAAATCTAATCAGTTCACCGCAGGCTGGAATAAAGCTTAAGTTTAAAATTTGGTATTTTTCTTTGTATCGGTTCATGAGTTATGGTGGATACAGACACACACACACACACACACACACACACACACACACACACACACACACACACACACACACACACACACACGCGCACACACACACACACACACACACAGACACACAGACACACAGACACACAGACACACACACACTGACACACAGACACACAGACACACACACACACACACACACACACACGCACAAACACACACACTGACACACAGACACACAGACACACAGACACACACACACACACACACACACACACACACACACACACACACACACACACACACACA